AGAAACATTGATTGGTTGCCTCTTATATGTGACTTGACCAGAGATCGAACCAGCAACCTGGGGAGTGGAACCCAGGACCCTGCAGTGCATGGGATGACACTACAACTGAGCCACACTCGCCAGGGCAATACTTTTCCCCTTTAACCTTTGTCATTGTTTAATAATCTATTCTGAAGTAGAGTTGCAGTTTACTGTTGAAAGTTTTTTTTGTTTTTTTTTTAATCCTCACCCGAGGATATTTTTCCATTTTTTGTACAGATAGAGTGGGAGGGAGAGAGAGGAAGGGAGAGAGAGAGAGAAACATCGACGTGAAGGGACACATCGAGTGGCTGCCACCCGCACGACCAACCAGGGCCGGGGACAAACTGCAACCGAAGTACGTGCCCTTAGCGGGAACCGAACCCGGGTCTCTCCGGACCGCAGGCCGACACTCTAACCGCTGAGCCAAACTGGCCAGGGCTACTGTTGAAAGTTTTGTAGACTTCTTTTTGTTTCAGATAAAAGAGCTCTTTTCAGCATTTCTTATAAAGCAGATCCTGTGGTGGTAAATTCCTTGTGTTTTTCTGGAAAAGGCTTTATTTCTCCTCCATATTCTAAGGGATAACTTCGCTGGATATATTATTCTTGGCTGGTTATTTCTCTCTCAGTATTTTGAATATTTCATTCTACTCTCTCCTGGGTTGTAAGGTTTCTCCTGAGAAATATGATCTAATGAGATTTCCTTTGTAGGTTACAGTCCCACCCCTCATGCTGCCCTGAGAATTCTATGTCATTAACTTTTAAAAAAAGTTTTATTGATTTTTTTTTTATCCTCACCCGAGGACATTTTTGGATATTTTGTTCAGATAGAGTGGGGGCGGGGGGGAGAGAGAGAGAGAGAGAGAGAGAGAGAAAGAGAAACATCGATGTGAAAGGGACACATCGAGTAGTTGCCACCTGCACAACCCAACCAGGGCTGGGGACAAACTGCAACTGAGGTACATGTCCTTAGCGGGAACCGAACCCGGGTCTCTTGGGACCGCAGGCTGACGTTCTAACCACTGAGCCAAACTGGCCAGGGCTTATTGATTTTTTTTAGAGAAACATCGATGAGATGCCTCCTGCATGCCCCCCCACACCGAGGATCCACAACCTGGGTATGTACCCTGACCAGGAATCAAAGTGGGACCTCTCAGTCCATGGGACAACAGTCAATCCACCGAACTACACCATCTGGGCTGTCATTATAATGTGTCATGGAGACCTTTTTGCTTTAAGGTGTTCTGTTAGCTTCTGGAATTCTAGAAGGGTCCAGCTCTTTCCATAGGTTTGGGAATAATTTCTCAATTGATTATTGCTTTGAATAGGCCCTTCTGTTCCCGTCTCCTCCTCTTCTTCTGGTATATCCATTACCCCTATGTTGCTCTTTCTAATGGAGTCAGTTTTTGTTTTCATTTATTAAAAACTCTTAGTTCTCTCTCTTCTTCCACCTGAGTCATTTCTAGGTTTCTATCTTTGAGCTTGTTAATTCTCTCTTCTGTCTGGTCTGCTCTATTTCCAGTGCTCTCTAATGCATTTATCATCTCATTTATTGAGTTCTTCAGCTCCAGACTTTCTAATTGGTTCTTTTATATGGTTTTAATTTCTTTGGTACTCTTTTTGTTCATTGATTTTATTCTTGAGCTCACTGAACTGCCTTTCTGGTTTTTTTGTATCTCATTGAATTTTTTCATAACTGCAATTTGAATTCTCTGTCATTTAAATCACAGCCTTTCATATCTTGAGTTCGGTTTCTGGAGACTTTTCATTTTCTTTTATTTCTTTTTTCTTTCTTCTTCTTCGTTTTTTCAGAGAAAAGAATTTATTGCAAGGAAGGCTGCCAGACAAGGAGACAGTGGACAAAACTCAAATTTGTTTCCCTGAACTAAAGCTTGAGACAAGTTTTAAGAGGTGAGGTTAATAAAAGGTTACACATATTCATAAAGGGTCTAATTGAATGGCTTTGGAACTCAGCCAATTAAGGTAAGGTATGGGAAGAGCAAGTACAAAGGAATGCCAGTTTGGCAGAGTTTGATTGGTTGAGGTCATGCATTCCTTGTGGTGGTTAGTTTTCCTTCCGACTGGGCAACAGTTCCAGGCAGCCCTCACTTCAGAAATGGGTCTGTGAGGACCAGATCTTCATGTTAGCTCTGTGGTAGTGTGAAATTTGGTTCTGCCAAGCTCTCGAGGTCACATCAGAGTCACATGAACTGCTAACTGTGCAGACTCAGGTTGGCTAGACTGGTTTCCGCCGTTAACACAAGAAACATTCAAACCTATAGAGAATTCTTGTAAGTTTATTTGAGCAAAACTGACATGTATCAGGGAACAAGACCTCAAATGCTTCCTGACTCTTCATTTTCTTTATGTGCTACCTTGTTACCTTGGTTATTCATGGTACTTGATGTTTGTCTGCCAGTGCATGTGAAGTAGTGAACTCTTTTCCTTTTTACGTACTGTTTTGTTCTTAACCATTGAGCAGGTTGATAAGTAGAGATCTCTCTTTTGTTTTCTAGTAAGTGGGCAAAAGCACCAGTTTTTGCCTTCCCTTACCTGCATCACTGGCACCCCTGGGATCTTGATGGGGCAGTCACCTTGGTTGTGGAAAATGTCCTGTAATCCCCAAGGTGGGAAGTGTCCCATCTGTGTCGAGGTTGCCTAGGTTTCAGCACACCACCCCCATGGTGGGATGTGGCAGGCAGGAGGGCTCCAGGCCTGCGAGTTCCCAGCACCGCCTCCTTGCTGCCTGGCTGCCAGCAGCGCTGTGCTGTGAGCATCTCCCCTGCCTCTCGTGGGTTCTGCAGCAGTGGGTGGGTGAGAGGAGGTGGGTTTGTGAGTCTGCTGTGGCTCTGCCTCCTCACTAGTAATGGTGGCCACTGGTCTGCAGCTGTCACACCACTGTGCTGTCTCCACTGTTGTTACTGGGTTTAGCCAGTGGACACTGGATCCTCAGGCAGGAGTGTTGCTTTGGCCCCTCCTGCCCTCCAGGCTGCTGTGTGAGGCCCGCAGCGAGTTCACCATTGCCACGTCTCTTCCTTCTCCCATCCCGCCTCCCTTGCCTGTTCTGATAGGCCACCTTCACATGTACGGATATATGGACCTCTCAGACACGTTTGTGTGTTAAGCAGAGGATCCTTTGTTGAATTATAGTTGTCTGATTTGTAACTTTAGGGGAGATACAAATGGGTCTACTTCTATCACTCCTCACTCAGTCTTGGATTGGGAGGTGTATCTCTTCCACCTACTGCTTTCACGTGACTTGGCACTTTCTTACCCAAATCATGAACCACATACTTGCTTATGCTTTACACATGTCTTCCAGATAATGTTTTGACATCTAGGGAAATAAGCTGCTGGGGGGGTAGGAGGGTGGGATAGGAAAGCCCTTTTTTCAAAATCCAGGTACCTTCTGAGAAGCCACACCCAAAGTGGGAGATAATGAAATCGATGTGGATCTCGAGGTGTTAGTGCCTCCTCAGCACGGGACCCTTAGTGACGGAGCTTCTTATACCCAACTGGCTGCGGCCTGTTTTTTAACTCTTACCTAGTGCTGTCAAACATCTCCTGCCTATTTCTCACTCTGCAAAGGGGACCATTCAGAATCTCCCTCAGATTTCCCCCCACCATAGACTCTCATACCTTCGTACAGAAATCAACAAAAAGGTCACTGATGTGGCTCTTGCCTTTTATTCTCTTTTCTTCCAGAAAAGAGTGTCCCTAGACAAAAGAAACTGGTGATTCCTGGTTTAAATAAAAATCCACTTGCCCTGGCCAGTTTGGCTCAGCAGTTAAAGTGTCGGCCTGCGGTCCGGAGAGACCCGGGTTCGGTTCCCGCTAAGGGCACGTACCTCAGTTGCAGTTTGTCCCCGGCCCTGGTTGGTCGTGCGGGTGGCAGCCGCTCGATGTGTCCCTTCACGTCGATGTTTCTCTCTCTCTCTCTCTCCCTCCCACTCTATCTGTACAAAAAATGGAAAAATATCCTCAGGTGAAGATAAAAAAAAAAAAAAAAAATCCACTTCCCCTATGTAACTCTAAGCAGACTGTGAACCCTTTCCCAGGGTATTATCTCACCAGATCCTTGGAATGGGGTGCTGATGGCCGCTTTCTCTCACTGGGCATTTCATAGCTAAAGTTCAGATGACTTGCTTCAAAGCCCAATTTCAAATTTCTGGGTACATTTTATTGAAGCAACTTTCAAATGACCTCTTTGTCCACAAAGGACAAAGTTATCCTTAGTTCTTCCCATCTGCTTCAACCTGATTCCTGCGTGAACCATGATGTAACAGCGGGGGCTGGGCATTTCCGTATGCATACTTGACGGGAACATGTTTTGAACTTCCCTGGAGAGACTGAAGGGCACTGACTGCAGTCCTCACCCTGTTCTTCAGCATTCCTTCCAGCTGGCCTGTTCCACTGGAGCCACTCTTGGTATCCCTGTGCACCTGCAGGGGTACCCTCCTGGGAGGACCAGTTATGGGGGGGGGGATCCTCCAAACAACTTGGTTCTCTTGTAGCTTTAACCTCTTTCTTTTTCTTTTGTCCTGTAGAAAGTCTGGGTAGGTTCCATATGGGCTAACTAGAGGCCCCCCCCCCCCCGGGGGGCTGTTACCAGACACCACATCACTGGAGGGCATAGGCGTCATCTGATGGTTACCAAGGAAAACCCATCTTTAGAGAAAGTATGTAGCTGGGAAGCAACTGGTTTCCCAGCTTACTAAAGATGGACCGTTGTCTTTAATATCACCATGATCAATAATTTAAAAAAAGTATTAGCAGGCATTTTTCCTCACCTGGCAAAAAATTCTAAAAAAAAAATTACCCTATAATTTATACAAAAACTCCCAGGTCAGATCTCATTCTTGCTTCCCTTAATGTATCAGAAGAAATGAATAGTCAGTTTAAAGAAGACATACATATTAGCGAAATACTGTTAAAAGATTTATTGTAATAACACAATAAAAGTTTAGGAAACATCTGTATGACTCAAGCAGTGGGAGACTCCTGCAACCTGACGCCACAAGGAGAACCACATACTGTCGTTCTTTAAACTGCAGGCCACCAAGTGCTCTTTCCCAGATCAGCACCCGGATCCTCCAATGAACCCTGTCTGCTGGGTCCAATGCTGGCATGTTTTTGCCTTAACTTACAGATGTGCAAAACTTTTCTTAGTCATACTCCACTACAAAGTCTTTAACAGACCATTTTAAGCAGCCTGTTGGTGCCTCTAGGTTTTTATTAGTATTACTGTGTGTTTGAAGAAATAATTTTAATATGGAAAAAAGGACCAAATTCTATGGCTTTTTGTTTAAAAATAAAAACCGGCTTCAATTCTTTTAAAACGCTGTTTACATATGGTTCTGGCACCTACATGAAAGGTTTTAATGAGCAGCAAAGAGAGTAGAAAAAACAGTGGTTGAAATGTATACTTAAGATATTTACATGGTGGGTCCAGTGCAAAATAATGAAACCAAAATACCTCAGCAGTGTAAGCCAGTATGTTGGTGTTCATAACCACGAAGGGTTTGATCATTTAACCCTAAGTAAAGTGCCTCTAGTTGATAACAACAACAAAATATACCCTATCAATCCCTCCATTTCCCATATCCTTGTAAGGTTTGTTGATCTCTGGATTCTGTTGTTTAGCTTCATCACATTCATGGTTTCAGAAGAGGCTTACTTGAGGAAAACCATGACATTGTGCATCTCTCAGCTGAAGTCGGTCTCTACCTCAAGCCCCAAATCCTAATCTTTCAACTCCTGAGAGAAAGCTCTTCGTTTTGAGGGTTGGAAGTACCTGGATAACTCTTTCTCATGGGATTTTAAGTTCATTTGGTATTTGTTCAAGTGCACCCCTCTATGAATACTGGCCTGGATGGGACCACGCAAGCCCAGCAGCACAGCTGAGCAGTTCCAGCAGAGCCTGCCGGTTTCCTCCACGGTGGAAAATCCATAGTCAGGGACTTGGGGCTCCTGGACAGGAATAAACACCCTTCAACATTCTACCCAAAACTACCAAACACTAAATATATCGATAGCAAAAGCTATATAATAGCACCTCGGATTTGGAGGCAAAGTATCATCTCTAATAATTACAACGGGAAAAGAAGCTAGGGCCGGGAAACCCTCGATGGTTTATCTGAGGTACTATCATGCTAATCACACGAACAAGATACGGCAATAATGCCTGTTAGGAATTTTTCATAGGATTTCTTTTTGTAGTTGTTACATAGGATTTTTTTTTTTTTTTTGCAGTTATTAAAAATAAACTACTTACATATTTGTACATAATGCCTCTCTACAGTTTTCTTTTAAGATTGTCACTAAGAGAATGACAAGACACGTTAGCTGAAAATTCTCCTATCAGTCTTCCCATAGAGCTTCCCCATAGAGAAGAGTAGTATCAGCTCTAATGATTTGCTTTGCTTTTCTGAGGGAAGGTAGTGTCCTTAGAGCAACAAAAACTTCTAGGAAACAAACAAGTGGGATGGTTTTCCCTGGAAAAACCTGCCACTAACTAAATCCCTTAGAAAGAAACTGGACACCAGGAGAACACCAAAGGCCACGTAACTGAGTGGCTTTTAACCTGTGCCCAGGCAGGCATTTAGCTTACATTAGCGAACAACCTAATGACTTAAATCTTTCACTCGTAGAAAATAAGTTTAACTTCAAAATGCACATAGTGTAGATGGTAGGAATTCAATAATCTAGGTAAGAATGAATTTAATTCCACTCAGAATGTAAGAAAATAGGTTTAAGATCTCTAGGACATTATTGCAGCTACAAGTTCTTGTGTTCACGGATGCGGGTCCTGACGAAAAGAGCTTAGTTTCTTTGGTGTGTGGGAGAAAGAAAAACAGGAATGTCTGACGAGCTACGACAGAGCAGCACAAGTGAAATAATTTTTAAACTCACCCCCCTGAAAAACACTACCTTTTCCAAACAAAACCAAAATCCTTGACCTAAAAACCAAACATGACCAAATTATAAAGAAATCAAGTATTTCAAATTGCTTGCTGGTTCTCTGTACAAAAATAATCACATAAAAACAAACTCATATTACACAGTTTTTTATCTTTCAAGTCCTAATCATCAAGAATCACTTCCTTGTGATTCAGCCTCTAAAATGTAAAGTGATCAGGAATAGTCTCAGCATCGCAACGACCAACATGCCAGCCTGTGTCTGTGGGTCCTCTGGCCTGTAATCAGGGGCCCAAATGACTTTCTGCCTCAACAGAACTGGCCTCGTGCACTGGTCCTCCTCCCACCAATAGGATTCTGGGTAGAAGGACCTCTGACCCCTGTTCTATTAATTATTCTAAGCATGTCAGTCACCAGCATAGGCCATTTGACAAATAGAAATGCTTGTCTCCCTGCTTTAAAAACAAAAACAAAAACAGTTTAAAACCTCTTTTTGTTCCAGGCGTGATCTTACCTAAATACATCAAGTTTACTAGTTTACTTTCCTGCTGCAATCTGGCATGTCTGACCCACGTTTGCTAACGGTGTCCAGTGTAAGCTTTCAGCCAGGAGGTCACCGAGGCTGCAGCAGAGGAGATCATCCCGCCGGCACTGCTGCTGGCGGTGGGTGGGGACACCTGGGTGCTCTGGCTCTGTGAGACTTCCACGGGCTGGGAAGGGATATCACAAAATCGGGGGCTTGGCAAGTTCTCCCAGTCTGTGCCCAGGTCAGTTTCCTCGTCACTTATGTGCTCGTCTCCACTCTCATCTGATTCTCCAGCGACGCCTGGATCCACAAATTCCATGGACTCCTCGAGGTCTGCTCGCACTTCAAAGGGTCCCGACCTGTGTGCAGACAGTGAAGAGTCCCTTTATGACAACCACCTTTCTCACGACATGTGGCAACAGATGACAGCGGCCTGCTGGCACGCAGACCAGAGCTGTCACTGCGCCCGGTTCCCAGGTCTGCAGTGCACCCACTCACTTTGGCCTATAATTGAGCATTTCTTTATCTAAGTAACTGCCATCCAAGTAATGAGTAATTTCACAATACCATATTTCTCCTCAATTCTACCTAACTGATTTGTGAAGACCCTGGATGAAAGAACCCACTGACTAAGACCATCCATTCGGGTCTGAAGTATGATTCTGTTTTAAACAACTGTACCGTGTATGCATTCCAATGACAATTCAGACAAAACAGTCACCTGACACATACACTCAGGTACATTAGTGGAACAACTATCATGGTACACAAAGAAAACTAAGATGCCCTCTGCCTTATGGAAGTTCTCAATTATTAAACTCGATCCACAAGCGCTAAATGACACAGCTGCAGGCATATCAGCAAAGCTTCCTGGGTTGGTATCGACAGCAGGTTCCTGCCATATTTCAAGGCATCATCACAATTGTCTAGGGATATGTGTAGAGCATAGAATGAGATATGATTATTTGGAATATATTTCTCTGCAATAGTGTATATTTTTTCATCATCTTTCAGGAAAAAAATATTTGTTTCCCAAAGCTCTCTAATAATGTCCTCCCCTCCAAATCTAATAACCATTCTTCCCCAGGCCTCACGCCCAGTGACCGACCCTCAGTGCCCCTGTGTGGAAGAAAGTCCACTAGGCCTCTGCTTTGCCCTTGCCCCTTTCCAGGGGCCCAACAGCTCCCCCTCAGGGGGCCGGCCGGGCGGCACTTCCTTCAGGCAGGCGGTCCCCCACCCACAGCGCTGTGGGGCTTCCCCACAACCAGCTATGGGACGGGTCCGAGTTGCCCCAAGATAAGGTCCAATGCCTCGGTTCATTTAAGAGTTTCACTAGTAATCGGGGAAATGACGGAGGATAGCAAAAATGAGAGAGAAATGAGAAATACCCTCGAGCTGTACAGCCTGCTCTTTTAGTCTGAGGTCCAGAGTTCTTGACAGTCTTTATAGTGATAAAAGCCTACCGTTGGCCTCCAGTGCACCTCCCCGGACCTGCACCTTCTGACTTGCTTTCTCCAGGGTCAAGTAAACGTTCTTCTTCCAAGACAACCCTGCTTCCCAGCTGGAACTCAGCAACAGCCATGGCTAATGTTTTTGTTCTCGGCACTGTTATTAGGGCTTTACGAGCATTAATTAAATGGGAAGATGTGCCGCAGGGTTTCCCGCTGGTCTTTTTTTACATTCCACACAGCCCCTCAGACCAGGGGCTGCCGGGGCTGCCAAGCTTACCAGGCCTCCACCCTGCCCAGAAGTTCTCCTTTTGCAAGGGGTGAAGGGAACAAGAATTGGGAGGAAATTCTCCCCACAATCTCCTTCCTCCCCTTGAAACTTGCTTGAATAAGCCAATAACCACTGCAACCTGTATCTTGGCTCTGAGTAGTGGCCCTTTTCTGTTTTATTACGGTTCTCCTTACAGCTCGTTTCTTTCTCCCTTTTTCTTATCCGTGGCAAGCAGGTCTACTCCAAAGACTTTTTTTTCCAGATTCCTCTCTTCCTAGCTCCATTCCCAAACACCCCACCGCTGGCCAGAGCTCTCCACTGACTGCTCTAACCTCACACTCATCTTCTCGAGTATCGAGCTAGTCCACCCAAACGGCCAGCTGGGATTCCTCCCTCCTCCCTCCCATCACCCCCTTTCCATCCTCAACATGTCCTCCAGTTCAAGTCCTCACTGTAGCACTACCCCCACCAACCAGCCCCACCCTCACCCCCTCAGCCTGCCCGAGCGCCATCCCTCTCCTCGTGGTGCCTGCCTATTAAAAATGTTCACAATTCAAGCATCTTAGCTGGTCTCCCTCCTTTCCCAAATGCAAGGCCTTCTGAGTCTGTTCAGCTCTGCTGTCCAGGGGGTTAAGTCTCCTGCCTCCCTGGCTCTCTCACGCCCAGGCCAGCTCTCCACCACCCTGCTTCCTCTCTTCTAGCTTTCAGGCTCGCCTGCTTTCTGTTCCCATCTGATGCTGCCTTATTTACTCTTGGGGTCCCTCTTGGCATGAGACTGTTATTGTCTCCAGATCCCCTCTTGAAGGGTTTTCCCAGGAGACAGGTGGGAAATGACAGAGTCCCTCACTGGAAGCCCCTAGACCCCAGTTCTCTGCTTGGAATCCCATAGGGCAGAGTCCACTTGGCATGGAGCAGGTGCTCAGTTAAGCACTTCAAATGAAAAAACTAGTGGATGATTCCCACAGTGGCCAATTTCAGTTCCAACGATATTTTTGAGAACCACGAGGAGCAAAATAGACCCCCTCACAGAGGCCACTGGGATCTTGCTCCACTCCATGCCCTTCCGCCATCACTTCCAGCACACTCTGCTACCTGTCCAGCATACCTGTCCACACACATCGCACAGAACTGACTACAAAATAATTAAGTCTTTCTGCTTAATGTCTTTGGGGAATACAGGTTATAAAATCATTCTTCTAATTTTCAGTTTAGCTGAATAACCGACATCATTTTATTCAAGACCCTGAAACCAGAGTTTTCATTTTCTCATGACACAGAGAGTTATTCTTATTAAGGCAACAAAATGATCTTTCTGGCTTCTTAAAAGTCTCTTTTTGCAAAATAGATTATTTTGAAAATATTATAGAATGTATAGCATCAAGCATAAACTCTGGACTTTGGATGATAACAATGTGTGAATGTAGGCACCACCATAGTACAGACTGGATCAGATTAGACTCATCAATAGATATTGACTCCAGGGGTGGATTCTGATTGGAAGGATAACTGCATGGTCTCCAAGTGTCTCCCACACACTGCAAGGAAGGAAACACATAGGCATTCCACAATGGGGAAGTTAGAAAGCACCCTGAGTGACTGAATTACCACCACCAATAAAGGGCAGATGGCCATCATGGGTCCCCAGATGTGATACCTGGGAGACACTCCAACTAGGTCGTGTCCCAGCCTAACATGCACAGCCGGACTCTGACTGCAAGGAAACACTGAACTGCAAAATGAAAGTTCTATTTAAAAAACAGGGGAAAGTGAATGTTGTAAAAGACAATAGGCTGTGAAAATGTTGCAGATTAGAGTCCTAGCGATTAAAGGCAACACCCGACTCTAGACTGGATCGGGAGGGAAATGCTGTAAAGGACATTATCTGGTCCACTGACAAAATGTGCGCATGGGAAGTAGAGTAACGTATTATATCAATGTTAAATTTATTGACAACTGGACTATGGTTAAGTAAGAAAATATCTCCATTTTTAGGAAATACACGTTGAATTATTTACGAACCAAGAGCCATGATATATGTAAGTCAGCCTCCTAGAGTTTAGAAAAAAATATTTTTGTATGTGTTTTTATGGAGAAGAGGGGAAAGAGAGGGGGGGGGAGGTTGCATAAATGATACAGCAAATGGGGCAAGGTACTAACAAAGGTGAATCTGGGTAAAGAATGTATGTGTCTCTGTACTTTTTTTTTTTAATTTTCCTATAAGTTTGAATTTATTTCAAGGAAAAAAAAGTCCATGCTGGGTTCAGGATGGAATCCTCAGTTCCGCTGGTCTCAATAAAAACAAAGTCCCACCCAAGTTCCATCATTAATCTAATCTCTCTAGGCCGGACTAAGGGAGGTCTCCTGGTTCACAGACCAGGAACGCTCAGGTGTGAGGCAGCTGGCTGTGCGTGCCCTTCTGCAGGACAGAGTCCTCTCCATGGGGGCTGCCTCAGGGAGGGCAAGCCCACGGAGCAGGCCAGGCCCCCGAGGAAACCCCGCCCACCTTCCTAAACCACCCCCACCAGACCTCCATCAGGCCTTTCCTTTTCACTCAACTGACAGATGAAAAGTGGAAACCTGGTCTGAATTGCATTTCTTTATTCTTGATTGAGGCTTAAGATTTTTTTATTTGAATTCTGACTACTTGCACTCCTTTTGTGTGAACAGCCTGCTTAAATACCTTTCTCTATTTTTATGAGATTGCTTTCATTTCTTTTATTGACCTGAAAGATTTAAGTAGTCTAGATTTTAATCCATTGTTTCTCACAGAGATCGCAAACTCTATCTGTTGCTTGTCTTTTAACATTGTTTATGGTATCTTTTACCAGAGACATTTAGATTTTTTACACAGTAAAATGTGTAACTCCTTTCCTTTATGGTTTTTGGGTTTTATGGCTTGCTTGGGAATTCCCTCCCCACCTGTGATTATAAAACACTGTCTTTTCTCCTATAGTTAAAAAAAAATTTTTTTTTAATCTTTTACATCGTCTGGGATTAATTTCTATTTGTGGAATGTGGTATAAATCCAACTCCCCCCCCATATGCATACCCAACTGCCAGCCACCACTGAGCTGCTATATGACATCCCTCTCATATATTCAGTCCCCCACACGACAGTCTTTCTAGTCTTTTTCTCTTCCTATAATTGCTCCATCTGTCTGCATGCTAACAGTGACGTTTTAATTACCTTTATATTATGTTTTAAAAGGGGCCAAGACCATCCCTTATTATTCTTTTTCAAAATTTCCTTGCAGACTGTGCTTCTAGTAGTTAAACATCAGAATAAGCTTGTCAAAGTTCCATGAAATACCTGCTGAAGTTCCGATCAGGTTTCCTTTTGGGGAGAAGCGGCACGTTTACAATACTGAGTTCTTCCCTCCTAGGAAATCATAAGGGTTTTCGCCGCCTGGGCCTCTTCCACCGCCGCTCCTCGGACAGTGCCGGGCAGACGGTCAAGAATTACACGTTGAATATGTTTTTTTAAGTGTCATCATTTTCTTTACATAGATTTATGTGTACTTTGTAAGGATTACTCTTCTGTAATATATAGCTTTTGTTGCTAAAGCAAGACACGTGCCTGGCTGGTGTGGCTCAGTGATTAGAGTGCCAAAGGGTGGAAGGGTTTGATTCCCGATCACTGGCACGTACCTGGGTTGCAGGTTCGATCCCCACCCCAATTGGGGCACATGTGGGAGGCAACCAATCGATGTTTCCCTCTCCCTCCCCACCTCTTCCACGCTATCTAAAAAATCAATGGAAAAATATCCTCGGGTGAGGATAAGGAGCTTTTTCTCCATTACTTTTTTTAACAAGTTACTGGCACATAAGAAAGCAACTGCTTTTATGTATGTTGATCTTATATTTAGTCACCATACTGTACTATCATTTCTAATATTTCTTAGTTCTTTGGGTTGTCCAGTTCAATCATCATACCATCTACAATAATATTAGCTCAGTTTCCTTCTTCCCATTATAAATACACCTTATTTCTTTGTTAAAATGTTCTGCCTTGGCTAGGCCACCAGAACAATGTTTCTTCCTGACTGTAGGGGACTGCCTCTGTAAAACATCTATGTAAGGCCCTGGCCGGTTTGGCTCAGCAGTTAGAGCATCAGCCCGCAGATGAGAGAGTCCCGGGTTCGGTTCCCAGTAAGGACATGTACCTCGGTTGGAGTTTGTCCCCAGCCCTCGTTGGGGTTGTGTGGGTGGTGACCATTCGATGTGTCTCTCTCACATCAATGTTTCTCTCTCTTCCTCTCTCCCTCCCGCTCTATCTGATGATAAATACAAAATAAAATCTATGTAAGTAATATGGCATTGAGTAAAACTTTGCTACTTATTTATGATAGACAGCCTTTATTAATAATCTTTTAAATCTGATAGTAGTTTCCTTTTATTATTAACAGGAACTGAACTTTATTCATTGCTTTTCTGGCATCCGTCAGGTTAATCTATGTTTTTTCTTCTTTGATACGTGAATGTGACAGGTAATGTGCACTAGTTAAAAGCATGAGTATCTACTACTTGGGCGTCGTGGGCCAGACGTGTGTTGGGACCTGGCTCCAGCACTTGTACTGGCTCTGTGACTGTGGGCACAAGTTACCTGGTCATGCTAAGCCTCAGTTACCCTCTGTGTAAAGTGAGAATAATAATCCTACCTAGATTTAAGACATGTAAAGTACTTAGCCCACTGTCAATAAAGATTGGCTCAATAAATATTAGTTCTTATTACTAATGATACATTTCCTAACACTGAACCCTTTACAAATAAGGTACAGAGAGGATGACAAGCAAACCTATGGAATCAACTACTAACACTGGGATGGATTTCTAACAGGTTTCTATGGCTCCTAAATGAATGGGATTTCGGGTCAGGGGGATGAGCTCCCTATAGAATGGCAACAAGTTCTAGGTGTATATGCAGTTTCCTGGAGAGAGGTCACAGTTTTCCCAAAGTTAACTACTGTCTTAGGCAGGGGAGAAACAGGAGACAATAGTTAAAGGCAGACTTCCAGAGTTTCCTGCGGAGTGAAGGAAGCCAGGCATCCTGGGCAGTGGAGGGCACTAGCCTGGTACCCTGGTTTCACAGTCAAAGCAAATGAAAGATGGAAAGGGACCCCACAAGAATTTCCCCACCTTTTATTTGCAATATCTGCAGAAATGTATGTTGTTGTTAATCCTCACCTAAGGATTAACATATCTTACATATCCGCTAAGAGAAAGGAAAAAAGATAAACAGCCAGAGAAGGGGCTCTTGGAGGGTACCAGAGATAAGCCTCATCAATGTCATGCTTTTATGGACTGAGAAATTGAAAAGATCCCAGAGACCGGTCCTGGTTGGTCATTTTTGTTACTGACTCTTGTTTTTAAGTCAGTGGATTTTAAAATACTTCATTCCATAAACATCTCATACCCTTAATCCAACAAATGGTGGCCAGACTGACTTGGTGACAAAAAAAATTGTGAAGAACTATTATGACGGGTAGGAATGAGCAGGCACAGAAGGAAACACACAAGCGGCAGGCTAGAGAAGAAACAGACGTAGATTCAAAGAAACGGCATCGATCTTCAGAGAGCACAAGGCCCCGCTCTGGGAACACTGGGACTCTTCTTTTCCGTTTTAGGTGTAAAAATGCTTGATATTAATTTTCTCTGAGAAATGCTTATGTAAGAACCATAATGGTTCAAATATAGTTAGTTACTGTTTCCTTCTATATAGGATTGCATTATTTCTGTCCCTTTTGGAGAGGATGGGGCTGAAGAACAGATCCTGAACACTGCCAACACATATAACAGTTCCCCTTAAAAGTAGTCACAACACGCCCTGGCCAGTTTGGCTCAGAGGTTAGAGCGTCGGCCTGCAGTTTGGAGAGACCCGGTTCAGTTCCTGCTAAGGGCATGTACCTCGGTTGCGGTTTGTCCCCGGCCCTGGTTGGGTTGTGCGGGTGGCAGCCACTTGATGTGTCCCTTTCACGTCGATGTTTCTCTCTCTCTCTCTCTCTCTCTCTCTCTCTCTCTCTCTCTCTTCCTCTCTCTCCCTCCCACTCTATCTGAACAAAAAAATGGAAAAATGTCCTCAGGTGAGGATAAAAAAAAAAGTAGTCACAACAGCCCTTGCTGGTTTGGCTCAGCCCACAGACTGAAAAATCGTGGGTTCGATTCCTGATCAAGGGCACGTACCTGGGTTGCAGATTTGATCTCTGGCTCTGGTTGGGGTTGTGTGGGAGGCAACCAATTGATGTGTCTCTCTTACAACGATGTCTCCCTCCTTCCCTCCCTCCCTCCCTCTTTTCTATCTAATAAAATCAATGGAATAGTATCCTTAGGTGAGGATTAACAACAACAACAACAAAGGGGTCACAACAGTACCACTTAGAGAAAAACACCCTTCTTACCTGCCTAGGTGTTCAGAATTCGGGCTGACCAGGTACATTAGATTCCTGAGGGTATGCAGTGGTTGTAATTGATCTAAATTTACATGCTAGAAAAAGCAAAAAATTGATTACTATTTTCAACCATGTTAAGAAATTAAAAATTAGTTCGCAGCACATTTTCCATACCTGAGAAAAGCACAGGTAAAGAATATTTGCATTCAGTTTCTTTACTGCTCGAGTAAATTTCTGTCTGCTGAGATTTTCCCCACAAAATTCACTGTAAAACAAACATAATTTGTAAAGTTGTATATATTTTTTTTAGGACATTCTATGTTTAAATGTTCATTCTGAAGAGCGTGCTTTACACTACGCTCTAGTATAAAACCTACCCTGTTGCCTTTGCCTCTTAACTGTACTTAGAAACTTTCTAAACTATTCCCCCTTCATGGAGCAATTTCATTGCATCTATAAAAACTACAAATACACACACACACACACACACACACACACACTTGACCAAGCAATTCCACTTCTGAAAATTTATCCTACACAAAGTTGCAAACTAATGAAATGACGAATGTACAGGACTACTCCCTGACGTGCCAGCAGAGGCCTGGCAGGACCCTGGAGTGCCTCTACAGAGAAAGCGGCACTGTCCGCTCGATGCAGGACAGCTGAGGGCTGGCAGCCGCCCACCAAGGCCTCACACAGCCGCACTCCACCTCCCCTGCCGCACTGGGTCTCTACTGCTCTCCTCGCAGATCACTCTTCCCGGGGTTCCGCACGGCCTTTCTCTGCCCACAGCCTCTTTCCCCAGGGTCCGCCTGGCTGGTTCCCTTCTTCCCTCAGGTTCACACGCGATCACACACTTGCCCACTCAGACACAGCAAGCCCTTCCTTGCCTCCACATCCCTTTCTCTCCCCCTGCTTTAATGTTCTCCACAGCACTTGTCACCATCTGACATACTGTTTATTATTTGTTCCTTCATTAAAATTAACCGGCTGGTATGGCTCAGTGGATTGAGCATCGTCCCATGGACTGAGAGGTCCGGGTTCTGGGTTCAATTCCCAGTCAGGGCACATGCCTGGGTTGTGAGCTCGATCCCACTGTGCAGGAGGCAAACAATCGGTTTCTCTCTCACATTGATGTTTCTATCTCTCTCCCTTCCTTTCTCTCTAGAAAATCAATAAAAAATATTATTTTAAATAGTGCCAAAAGGGCAGGGATTATGTTTCCATCATCATCGTACCCTCTCAGTACCTAGAATAGTGCCTAGCACATAGTAGGCACTCAATAAATGTTTGTTAAATAAATGCAAGGTGCAAAACACGTTAGTACAGTATGATCCGTTTTGTGTTGAAAAGAGGGGTAATGGTAACCTTACATATTTATATTTGCTTGAAATGCAAGGATAACTAAAGGTTGGTAGGAAAGTTTTAGTAGGAACTGGGTAGACTATAAACTTTTACATTTTTTTGAATGTTAAATGACATGTTTTTTATTTACCCTGTCTGGGTAGCTCAGTTGGTTAGAGCATCGTCCCGATACGCCAAGGTTGCAGGTTCAATCTCCAGTCAGGGCACATACAAGAAGCAACCAATGAATGCATAGGTAAATGAAATGACAAATCGATGTTTCTCTCTCGAAAATCTACTTTTTAGAAAAATAAAATAAATTTTCAAGTGTTTCACTTTACTCAGTTCTTGCACATGAACACACCTTCTGAATATTCTGGGTTTTCCTTCCATTCTTTTTTTTCAAGTGGGAGAATTCTCCGTGGTCTTCTCAAACACTTCATGTGCAATTCTAAGATAACACAAATCTGTACCACATGAGGCTTATGAAATTAATCTCAGCATCTACGGTCAGACTTTTTCTGTCTCAATGACACTTAAATTCTTGATTTTTTTTAAACTAGAACAAATGAGAAGACACTAAGAACGTAAGAGATCACGACAAAGAAGACATCACCACCTTCCGTTACTTGCCTGTTGCACAGCTTTTTGGGAAGGTTTATGTCGAGGATGTGCGATAAGATGTTGACCAGCTGCGTCGCGTAGCACAAGGCGGCACTGATCGTGTACGCGGGGTTGCTATGCTCCATGTCTGAAGTATAGGAACAGTAACCATACACAAAACAACTTTATTTTCAACAAAAATATGAATGAACCGCTATGTTATGATTTCTAATTTTATTACATTACTGATGGTTACCTTTTATTCCTTACTAATAAAAGGTCCATATTTCATTAGTTATGGTTACTGAGTGAAACCTAAGCAAATAGGCCCTACAGGCCCAGCATAAATGAAATGAAAGCCTGAATGGCTTGAACCTAATAATGTTTATTCACCAGAACAATCAGTGCCCAGAGAGCCTCCCTGGACTACCTCATGGAAAAGTGGTCCCTTCCTCTGTAGCCCCGCCCACAGCACACACTCAGTGAATGGCGTTTCCATCACGACTTGCTTCCTGTCCTCCCCACACAAAGGCAAAGGTCTACAGCTGTCTTGGTGAGGTCACCTTTGTATCACTGGTACACAGCACTGTGCATGACAGAAAGCACACTCACTCACTATCTGCTGAATGACTAAATGAAAGTGAGGGTTTCTCGACTGTGGTATTTCAACCTCCACTTACGACTGCTAAAACAAGCTCTTTACAAAGGTAAAAAACTATAGAACTGGGATTCAGGCTAAATACACTTTATAAGTAAAGCAGTATCAACCTCCAAAAGGTAAAACATCTAAAATGTATGTTTTTGGTACATCCACAGGTAAATAAATATGTGGTATACCCCTACAACAGAACGTTATTCAGTCATGATAACAATGAAATGCCGATACATGCAACAATGTGGATAAGCCCTGAAAACATGCTAAGTGAAAAAACCAGACACAAAAGGCCACATATTATAGAATCCCATTTAAATGAAATATTCAGAATAAACACAACTAAAGAAGAAGAAAGCAGATTAGTGGTTGCCAGGGGTTCGGCTCAGAGGAGGGGGAATGGGGAGTGACTGCTTCATGCCCCTGAGTTTCCATTTTGGGTGATGAAAATGTTTTGGAACTAGACAGAGGTGATGGTTTTACAACAGTGTAAATCTACTAAATGCCACTGAATTGTTCCCTTTAAAATCGTTCATTCTGCCCCGGCTGGTTTAGCTCAGCAATGAGAGCATCAGCCTGATGACAGAAAAATTGGGGTCAATTCTGGTCAAGGGGACATGCCTTGGTTGCGGTTTGATCCCCAGCCCTGGTCAGGGTCATGCGGGAGACAACCAATCGATTTGTCTCTCTCACATCAATGTTTCTCTCTCTCTCTTTCCCTCCCTCCCACTCTATCTGGAAATGGAAAAATACCCGTGGGTGAAAAAAATAAAACCATTCATTTTGTTATGTAAATTGTACCACAATTAAAAAATACATGTATAAAAATTTTCAGACTAGTTTGCTTCTCACCAGGCCCCTGCGTGGTTTTCTTCTCTTCCACCCAGTTATAGTAGGCAGAATAGTCCCCGTTGTTGGGAAGGCTAATCCAAGGCCCTGTGATGCTAATGCTGGTGTCCCCATTGTGGTCGTCACAGACCCATCTCCCAGAATGATAAGTCGTCCTGCGGGCTTCAGCAAGCTTGCTCACGGTGCTGGAGGTCATGGCACTGTCACTCTCTGAAGATCCGTCTGCAGGATCTCTACAAATCAGAAGATGCACACAGGATTTCAAGGGACTGTGTTTTAAAGAGTACGCAATACACCTGCCAGATACTCAGGACACTGGAGAGATGCACATGAGGACTGGGACGGACGGGGACTGTGCAGAGACAAGTGGCTGCTATTAGAAACAAAGATCAAACAGCTGTGGCACAGAAGCCCGTGGGGTGAGCGAGGACCTCAAACACCAAGCTCTCAAATGCTTTGGTCTCAAGATCCCTTCTGTGTTTAAAAATTTCTGAGAACCTCCAAGAGCTTTTGTGTATGTGGGTTAGATCTACTGAGATTTACTAAACTAGAAATCTGAGAACATTTTAAATTATTAATTCATTTTAAAAACCAAACCTAATACATGTTAACATAGCATATCTTTAGAGAAAAATCTGTATTTTTTAAACCAAGAATATCAGTAGAGTCGCATAGCACAATGTAGCACTGATTAAGATTTAAAAAAAAAAATACTCATAGCCCTGGCCGGTTTGGCTTAGCTGTTAGAGCAGTGGCCTGCAGACCAAAGAGTCACAGGTTTGATTCTGGTCAAGGGCACATATTTCGGTTGCAGTTCGGTCCCAGGCCCTGGTCGGGGTCATGCAGGAGGCAATCAATCGATGTGTCTCTCTCACATCGATGTTTCTCTGTTTCTCTCTCTCTCTTTCTCCCTCTCACACTCTTATCTGAAGACAAATGGAAACATATCCTTGGGTGAGGATTGAAAAAAAAATCACTATAATACCCAAGACTTTCTGTTGTTCTTTCAAGTAAAAATAGTGTCCCATGAAAAAACCAACTACTGTTTGCAACTCACACGAGTGCTCTTCCCGTGAGCCCACCGAGGCACTCGGTCTGCAGAAGCGGTTTGTGCACACGTCCACCTTATCACATGCTAAAAAGGTGTGTGTGCAGGGTCAAGGCAATAAGATAGAAATAAAAATTAATAGTTTCTATTGCTTCATCAAGTACATTCTTGTTGCAAACTGGCTTTTTCTTTTTTTAATACTGCAAGTACCTGGTGGGATACAATGACTACAGCGTGGTGTCACCGCTTGGAAATGTGTCAAGGGGCCACCATGGATTTGGGGTTACCAGTGCAAATGTTGACAGTGAAAAAGGAAAATCAAGTGTTATTATCAGTATATAAAAATAGTTTTAACTGCACGGACCCTGTGAAAGCAGGGGCCCACAGAGGTCCACAGGCCACACCCTGAGAAGTGCTGGTCTAGAGAGCGATGGGAATGAGAGGGCCTGGCAGGTACAAATGCACAGGAGGGAAGAGCACAATGGGTCTGCGAGCAGAGAGCAGTGGGGCTGTGTGAAGAAGGCACAAAGGAAGTTGCCAGGAGACGGCGTTGGAGAAGTGGCAGGAAATGGGAGACTGGAAGGGCCTTCTGCGCTGCACTAGGTTAAGAGTCTGTTCTCTTGGCCAGTGGTTCTCGATCCTTTTTCGTTCTGCCACAAACACATGTACACGACTCCTACTGGCTGTCCCGGGTAAGACAGGACAGGGGACTAGAGCCCGTTCTAAGCTGTACCGCTACTTCCTCCTTCTCCCACTCAAGTCTGAGAAATATGAATGAACAAGAAATCTTATTATACGGACAACTTCAAAACCATCAGCTTAAAAAAAATTAACAGTATATAATAGTATACACTAACAGAAAAAATGTAAACAGCACAGGTAGAAAGTTTTTCTCCATGTTTTCTCTTCTGCGACTGTGTGTGCCACTGTCAGTCTCCCGAGTGACCTAAAATCTACAAGGTGTCTGTCTTTGTCTGCTGCAGTGCGTTTAACATTGATACCTGGGCCTGTGAGGATTCTTTTTTTTTTTTTTTTTTTTTTTTTTACCATTACAAAAGTTTATTTAATAAAAGTTCAATGTGAAAATGGACACGACCTGGTTTTTGTATTGTAGTAAAATAGGTGCTGTGGAGAGAGGACTGTGGAAGCAGCCGATTTCTCTAGTGAACAGAGTACCTTAAACTCATTCCGAGACTTCTAACATGATGCTATTTCTGTGTAAAACCCCTGTTCCAGTACTGTTCTGTTGCCCACTTACTGCTATCCCCACACATTCACCTATCACAAGATTCATAGAAGGATCAAATCCCCACATGTCCTTGGATATGTCTGCCACCATTTAATTTCAATGAGAATTTCTTGTCTATAAATTAACTCGGGAGAGTGAGCTTTGCTTATGGTGTCACTCAGCAAGTTCAAAGACACCTCTAAAAAGCCTCTCTCACTCCTGAGGTAGGCCCCCACCCACGAGCATTTAATTTGGCATAATGCTTCTGTTCTGTGGGCCTTTTTTATTTTTTAATTAATTAATTAATTTTTTTGTGGTACATATCCCTAGTGGGAACCAAACCCGGGACTCTCTGGTCCACAGGCCAATGCTCAACCGCTGAGCCAAACTGGCCAGGGCTGTTCTGTGGGCTTTTTAAAATCCCCTTTGACCTGAGGGTATCTATGGGCTACTGCTTAAGAGTAGACTTATGGCCTGGCTGGTGTGGCTCAGTGGACTGAGTATCACACCATGGACCGAGAGGTCCTGGTTTGATCCTAGTAAGGGCACATGCCCAGATTGGGGGCTTGATCCCCAGTAGGGAGCATGCCGGAGGTAGCCGAGAGATGTTTCTCTCACATCGATGTTTCTCTCTCTCTCCCCCTCTCTCTAAAAAATCAATAAAAAACATAGTTAAAAAAAGAAAGAGAGTAGACTTATGATATCGTTCTTGACAGCAACCAGTCACCAGGAAAAGGTGGTCACCATGTAAGAAATCCCAGGTGTCACCAGGTACTTTCTTCCATTTCAGTTCATGATTTCTCTGTGAAGTAGGCATTTATTATCCCTGCCTAACAGACAAGGAAATAAGACTCTGAGTTTTGAGAACCTGCCTCACTAATAAACATCCCGACTGGGACTGCAGCTGACATCAGCCATCAGATGGTTTTGATCGGAGTGAGTCAGCATTCGTCGGGAAGCTGTAAGAGTACACAAGCCTGGGCCCCGCTCCTCCGAGGGCCACCGCCCTCTACCTTGGCTGCCTCCCCAACTTCATGCAGTGTGTAGTGTTTGCTGAAGCAGATAAGAATTCATTCAGTTCAATTACCAGGAAAACCAATGGCCCCAGAATGAGGTCAAATAAACAAGGTGCTGACACAACTGAAAATACTTGATCTTTGGAACCTGTTCTATTCTAGAGTCAAAAGACTTGCTTACTGTACCTCGCACCAGTCTTGACTTCCTCGATTGGAAAAATGACAGAGGTGAGCTCCAATATATGAGATCGCCGAAGATTTGCCAGACGCTCATAATGACTCTTTAAGTCAATGGTCTTTTTTTCTACTAGGTCACCAAGTTTACGATTGTGCCTCTGAATCTTCTCCTTTTTCTCTTGATGCCGTTGTGCTCGAGTATAAAGCTTCTGGTTCTTTTCCTTGGTTTTGAGAAGGCCTTCAGAATCTAAAATAAATCACACCCAACAATTATCTCTACAAATAGTTCCTGGAATCTATTAACTCCCTTAAAAGTGTTTGTAAAAGGCTGTGAGTGTGGCAACCAGCCTGCATTTATGTTCTGAAGAGCAGGGCTCCGGACCCCAGCAGGCCATCAGCACCACCCAGAGCAGTGTACTCAAAGTGTGGCCTATGAATCTGGGCCCGTCTACAAATTTTTATCAATCAGACAAGAATACTAAAGAAATACAGACTAAATTTAGAAAGAAAATTTTTTCTTTGACATGGCAATTTGACATTGCCATAACATTCAAGCATGTGATCATTTTTCTAGAAATTGATTTTATTATAAAAGTATTTGGGTCCTGGCCAGTTTGGCTCAGCAGTTAGAGCACTGGTTGGCGGACCAAGGGGCTGAGGGTTCAATTCCAGTTAAGGGCATGTAACTGGGTTGCAGGTTCAATCCCTGGCCCTGGTATGGGTTGTGCGGAAGGCAACCAATCAATGTGTTTATCTCTCATCGATGTTTCTCTCTCTCTCCCCCACTCCCGTCCTCTCTCTCTAAATCAATAATAATGTGTGCGTGTCTGTGTGTGTGTGTGTGTGTGTGTGTGTGTGTATACATATATATATATATATAAAGTATTTGGTATCAGTTTATGACAGATTGGAAATCAAAGAGAAAAAACTGGTCTTTTACTACAGTTGAAGAATCAATGACCCCGTCCCTATGCATGAGATTGTACTTTCTTAAATCCAGGATGGATCCCAAGATTCTCTCTCTAGATTTTAAAAAGGTTACCAGGTCACTCTGCTAGGGATGGAAATCACTATTTTAAGTCCACTGCTTTAAAACCATGTCTTTGATTTTCTGTGGTTGCTGTTTCTGTATTTTGGTATTAGGAATCTATTAGAGCTGATCAAAGTTTTAAACTTGCTCATCAGAAAAATGCACAAGCTAAGTAAGTTCAGCAACTTCAGGAGGTTCTCAGATGCCTGGTAGCACACCCCTGGTGTGAGCTTCATGGGAGGATGAGGAAAGAGGGTACATCAAGGTTAAGTGAGGAGTCCCAGCACTGCTGCTGAGCCAGAGGCTTTGGAGAATGCATGCACAACTCAGTGCACAACTGGCTGTCTCTAGTCCTAAGCGCTCTTCATCGTGCTGCCCTGCTTCTATAGCTTATTAATCCTGTGAAACTCCACATCCGAATGGTATGAGGACAAACACCCTCAAAGGAAGCTTTTATACCACTATGTACCACTACAAGATATTGCTTCTGAAAGCCATGAATAGAAAAGAAAGAGATTCACCAGGTATGATGGTGACTCATTCTAAACCTTAAATACTGATCTTCAGAAATACACAGAATATTTCCAAGGATGCAGGATTTCTAAGAGGATGCTCTTAAATTTTGATAATCACCTATGATAGAGTATCAATAAAAATATAATGTAAGATTAATACAGATTAAAATATATAAAAGACACATTATAGAAAATAAGACAACCAGGCCCATGTGGCTCAGTGGTTGAACGTTGACCCATGTACTAAGAGGTCACCTGTTCGATTCCAGGTCAGGGCACATGCCCAGGTTGTAGGCCTGATCCCCAGTGGGGGGCATGCAGGAGGAGATCAACTGATGTTCTCTCTCATCGATGTTTCTATCACTCTCTCCCTCTCCCGTCCTCTCTCTACAACTCAATAAAGAAGAATAATTTTTAAAAAAGGTCCTTTGCCCTTTAAAAAAAAAGAAGAAAAAACAATATTCTGTGCCTCTGGTAGAAAGTAATAATTATAAATGGGTACCAAGTTAGATTTTGAGTCTCCTGTTAGCTAAAGCAAATGGGAAACATACATTCACATCGATGTGAAAGGGACACATCGAGTGGCTCCCACCCGCACGGCCAACCAGGGCCGGGGACAAACTGCAACCGAGGTACGTGCCCTTAGCAGGAACCAAACCCAGGTCTCTCGGGACCGCAGGTCCATGCTCTAACAGCTGAGCCAAACCGCCCAGGGCTCTTTAACTTTTTTAAGTGAGAAAGGTAGCAGGTTATTTAAAGATTTTTCTATGCCTGGCTGGTGTGGCTCGGTGGATTGAGCATCGTCCCATGGACTGAGAGGTCCCGGTTCGATTCCCGGTCAGGGCACATGTCCAGATTTCAGGCTCGATCCCCCCCGTAAGGGGCATGCAGGAGGCAGCTCATCAATGTTTCTCACATCGATGTTTCCATCTTTCTCTGCCTTCCTCTCTAAAAAAATCAATAAAAACATTTTTAAAAAGATCTTTATATAAGAATTCCTTACACAAATGTTTCATAAGGAGAGGAAGGCAAGCAGTAAATTTTTCCAGGTTGCTATTGCCCCACACCCCTCCTCTCTTTTTCTCTATCTCTCTAGTTTATTAATTCCACGAAATTCCACATGAGCTCTTTATTAGGGCTGGAGGGAGGGGTCAAATTACTTACTTTTCTTCATTTCTTCATTTCCTTTACATATTGTTTGCTTCAGCTGTTCAATCCTCATCTTGCAGGACATTATTTTCCATCTCTTAAAAAGTATGCAATAAATATCAGACATATTGGTCTCATAATTAATATGATTACCTACCTGGTATCACTACCTATTTCAGGTATATCTCAGAAAACATAATGAAGAAAGGCCACGATATTTATTATAGCTTTTATAACTATTGTAGATTACCAGAAAGAAATAAAAAGTAAATCGAACAAGTGTTGGCGAGGGTGTGGAGAAAAGGGGACTCTAGTACACTGCTGGTGGGAATGCAGACTGGTGCAGCCACTATGGAAAACACTATGGTGTTTCCTCAAAAAATTAAAAATTGAACTGCCATTTGACCCAGTGATCCCACTTCTAGGAATATACCCTAAGAAGCCTGAAACACCAATCAGAAAGAATATATGTGCCTTTATGTTCATAGCAGCACTACTTACAATCGCTAAGATCTGGAAACAGCCCACGTGCCCATCAACAGATGAGTGGATAAAAAAAGCTGTGGTACATATATACAATGGAATACTATGCAGCTGTAAGAAAGAAAGATCTCTTATCTTTTGAGATGACATGGAGGGACCTACAGAGTATTATGCTAAGCAAAATAAGCCAGTCAGGGAAAGACAAATACCACATGATCTCATTTATTTGTGGAATATAATGAACAAAATAAGCTGATGAACAAAATAGACTTAGAGACATAGAAAGGAGTACGATTCAGAGTGACAAACCTCAGAGGAGGGGGTAGAGGGGGTGGATGAGATAAACCAAAGAACTTATATGCATGTATGCGTAACCAATGGACTGGTTCAATGCAGAAGCTGCTAGAAAATTAAGAGAGAGAGAAATTCACAGAGAAAAATTATGAAGGCTATTTTTTAACATGCTCTGTCCAATATATAGCTACTGGTCACACGTGGCTATTTAAAAGTCAATTAAAATTGCATAAAATAAAAAAATTCAGTTCCTTACTCACACTACCCATACGTCATATGTTCAACACCACATGTGGCTAATGGCTACCATATTGTTCTGTGTAGACACCGAACACTTGCATCATCACAGGAAGCTCTATTGACACCCTGCTTACTCTTAGTGCTAGCTATAGAGGAGACCATCAACATCACTGATTTCTCTCACTGATATAATAAACACGTATTATTTTCAAAATAATTAAACTATAATAAAATAGAAAAAAATTTTCAAGTGTATAACTTATATAAGATTTCTTCAAAAACCTCAATCATATGAAATATAAAATGTCCTCTTTATATTACCCGGATTTAGGTATTGCTTCCCCCAAGGTGAATAAAAAGTCAGCAAAAATAAGACCCAATAGTCAGTTAAAAAATGTAATTATCTATTCTATAATGCCTCCATAAATGTGGCCAATTAAAAGCTCATAACAACATTCAAACATTTGTGGTGTTTGATAGTACAAGATACAGAGTAGATTATAGGGATGTGCTGGTGGGCGAAATGCTAACCTCTCAAATCGAGTGCACGAGACATCTGAAAACAGGTTTGTGGGACTAGTGGATTCAGGAGAGGAGGCAATGAGATGTCTTCCCTTTTAAACGGTATCAGTCTTTGCCTGGCCAGTGTTGCTCAGTGGTTGAGTGTTGACCCATGTACCAAGAGGTCACCAGTTTGATTCCTGGTCAGGGCACATGCCCAGGTTGTGGGCCAAATCCCCAGTGGGGGGCATGCAGGAGGCAGCAAATCGATGTTCTTTCTCACTGATGTTTCTCTCCCCCCCCCCCCTTCTTCTCTCTCAAATCAATAAAGAAAAAAAAATTTTTTTAAGGTATCAGTCTTTAAGAATCAGTCTTGAAATTGTTGATAGCAAAATTCGAAAACAACATAGGGAATGTAGAAAAACTGGGATGGGGTTCTTTATAAATGGCCTTTTATGATATTTTTCTCCACAGCATATTTTGTTTCCATAACATTCAGTATGTGAATAAAATTTACTTATATCACAAATATTCTTTTTTTCTTTATTGATTTTAGAGAGAGAGGAAGAGAGAGAAATATCGAGAGAGAATATCAATTGGCCACCTTCTGCCTGCCCCCACTGGGGATTTGGTCCACAATCTGGGCACGTGCCCTGACTAGGAATTGAACCAGTGATTTTTTGGTGCATGGGTCGCTGCTCAACCACTGAACCACACTGGTCAGGCACAAATATTCTTTTAATTATTTAAAAACTATTAAATTATACTCATTATTGTGGAAAAAAAATTATATATCACAAAAGAAAAAAAAAAAAGTGGTTGTCAGCCTGACTCCTTCCTATCCCTCACGGGTAATCTAAATTAAAGTTCAATGCATCTTTTCAGACTTTTTAGATTATATTTATATTTCAAACACATACAGAAATTGAATCATACTTTACTCTAGCCTACATTTTTGATTTTTCATTTAAAAAATATATCTTGGACCTGGCCAGTTTGGCTCAGCAGTTAGAGTGTCAGCCTGCAGACCAGAGAGACCTGGGTTCGGTTCCTGCTAAGGGCACATACCTCGGTTGCAGTATGTCCCCAGCCCCAGTTGGGGTCATGTGGGTGGCAACCACTCGATGTGGCTCTCTTACACCGATGTTTCTCTCTCTCTCTTCCTCCCTCTCTCCCTCCCCTCTATCTGAAAATGAATGCAAAAATGTCCTTGGATGAGGGGGGAAAAAAAAATCTCTCACTCTCTCTCGGACATCACTCCATATCAATACATGTAGACTGACCATATTCCTTCGAACAGCTACACAGTATCATCTGTGTTGCACCCTGCTTGATTAGCATGTAGTTTATCTATACACTGACTTCACTCCTAGTGCCGCAGACAGCCAGCTTCGCTATCCATAAATTTCCACATTCATGTGCATGTCCTTAAGAGGAAGACTGTTGGATGTACCATATGTGCATAAAATCAAGGACACACCTCTGAATGTCCCCCAGATATGCCACTGTATATTTCCATCAAGACTGAATGCAGTGTTAGTGACCGAACTCCTATTTTCATGTATTGTACTCATTTATGCTCATTTTACTTAGGGTATTTAAAATAAAGAACTTTTTACATAGAGTGGCAAAATGTTTTCCTTTACAGCTTATCAAGTTCCTCTCACCCTTAAATTACATAAACACTTTTGTCTATTTTTTTTCCATATTTTTATGAGTTTACTTTTCACATTTAATCATTATTCCATCTAAACTATGTATGTGTTTACGATGAGGAATTTTTCTCCAAAAGCATAGCTCATTGTTCTTATATTCCTATGCCAATACCAGACTTCATAATTAATCTTTATGACAGCTCCCTGATTAACTGTCAATACCTTGTTTTTGGTATCTAGATAAAATACTTGAGAAGCCCACACTACAAATATATTTAAAGAGAGGACATCTAAAAATGAGCAAAAACAAGTTTAAATTCACAATATTTTAATTTTAAAATCTACCAAGGTAAAAACATGTAACCTCCAGTACAGAGAATATTATTTAAGTAGTTCTTATAGCTCACCAACTGATCTGTTATCCATTTTCCTTCCATAGCTTTTAGCACTCTGTAAGGAGAAGAAATATACAGAATAAGCTCTTAAAACAATTAAATTTTGTGAAACTCAAAAATGTAAAATCAACAACTTTTAAAGATAAGTTCTTATAAATGGATGGAAATAGCAAAGTGGGATGGATGCATTTAAAAGTGTTTTCCAAATTCTGTTCTCTGCAATTTTTTCTCATCTCCTTGCTTTTGCACTTCTAACACAGCCCAGAGCCTTTCTACAAACGTTCATAATAAACTTCCTTAATGGACAGAGCCTTTGTCCTCAGTCATAACTAACAATTCCCGTCAGTCATAATTAATAATAATGATAGTTACAAGAAAATTTATGACTGAAAATGCTAAGTTCATCACCCAAAGAAAAGGCACAGGCCAGTATCAACAAATATTTGTTTTATGGGGTGAAGTGTTCTATAAAAATAAAAGTTCCTGCCTTGGCCCATGTGGCTCAGTTGGTTGAGCATTGTCCCATACACCGAAAGATTGCAGGTTCAATCCCCAGTCAGGGCACATAGCCAGGTTGCAGATTTGATCCCTGCTCAGGGCGCATACAGGAAGGCAACTGATAGATGTTTCTCACATCAATGTTTCTCTCTTAAATCAATGTTCCTCCCTCCCTCCCCCTCTCTCTCCCTTATCGTTACTAAAAAAAAATCAATAAGCATGTCCTAGGGTGAGGAAATAAATAAATAAATGTATGTTCCTATGATCGAATAAATTAGAGAAATAACCGAGTTAAATTAATCCAAGCAGGTTTCTCTAATACAAAGCACCTCAGAATATTTAAGTCACGCACTTATCAATGTGTTTATCAGACCTGGGGTGTGCCTGCAGAATGGTGACTGGGACAGTTTGGGATAGAAGGTTCTATAGGAAAATTCTTAAATCCAGAGTGTGAGAGATGAATCAGGGGTGCTCAGCAATAACTCTAGATTCCCAGGGCTCCTCCCAGACCTACTGAATCAGAATATCTGAGGATAGGATTTTAAGAATCTGCATTTTTAACCATTACCTCAGTTAATGAATTCTGATATAGACCATCTGCAGACCACACTTTGCAAAAACACTGACAGAGAATAAGAAGGGTAAATGGAGCAGTAACATCCAATAGGAGCCACCATCACTAACTTAAGTCTAATGTGCCTCCTGTCCTGGAGCCACGTGCCACGTATCAATGATCAGGGGTGGGGACTGATTACCATTCCGTCCCTGAGTGCCAACTGTGTACAGGCAGCAGGTGATCCCAGTATTTTCTACAAACTTGGTACCTCTCCTGTTTTGCTTCTCTCAGATGCACTACTCTTCTGTATTTTGATTGTGTCCTAAATCTAGTAATATGTCTGTACTCCACAGTACTGAATTAAACCACGTGATGACTAGATAATTCTACAAATTAAAAAACAAAATGAAAACTCACTCTTTTTGAAATTCTTCTTGCTTGCTCTTAAGCTGGCTCAACCGTGCCTTCTTGTCTATAAACCTGCAAGAAAAAAAATTCAATGTTTCATTTAAATATTTGCTTTTTTTCAGTCCAACCAGATGATATAAATTCCTGGGAGGCAATCATTTCTGCCAACTCATCTGGAAATGTCACTGTCTTGAAAGTATTATATATAACTTCTCAATGGGATGCATGTGGATGCTTAGCATTTGGTTGTTTTACAACTAAGTTCAAACTCTCAGCTTTAAAATTATTTCATGGGTTTATAAAATCTATCTATAGGTTTCCACCCCTAGGTTAAATTATTTTCCAAACAGGCACAGCAGAGCTCTAACGTGAATTTGAGTTCAAAGAAGCTTCTATTATAAAAATAACTTTAATTATTAAGCTTAATTTAATCCTGCTTTCATCTACCGCTTTTTCTTTTTCTTTTGTTTGTTTTTTTGCCCTCACCTGAGGATATTTTTCTACTTATTATCAGATAGAGTGGGAGGGAGGGAGAGAGAGACAGAGAGAAAAACATCAATGTGATAGAGACACTTCAACTGGTTGCCTCCCGCAAGACCCGACCAGGGCCAGGGAAGAACCGCAACCGAGGTACGTGCCCTTGACCGGAATCGAACCTGCGACTCATTGGTCCGTCGGCCAACGCTCTAACCGCTAAGCCAAACCAGCCAATTTGTTTCTTATAATTTTAAAAGTACGATTTATTTTCTCACTTATTTTATTGCTAGTCATTGCAGGTTAACAAGTTACTTAGTAAAAGTTACCAAAAGGAAGGGATATCATATTGCACTTCATTTTCTGTCAGTCTACTACTCATACCCTTATTATTTTCTTCCTATTACCTTATTTGTGGTTTAGTTTGCTCTTTTTTGTAGCTTATGGTAAAAACTCATTGATCTTATGGCCCCCATCCTTTTTAAAAAAAATATTCTTATTGATTTTTTAGAAAGAGAGGAAGGGAAACACTAATGACTGGCTGCCTCCTGCACGTCCCCCACGGGGGATCAAACCTGAAACCTGGGCATGTGCCTGACAGAAATCAAACCAGCCACCTTCTGGTACATGGGATGACACTTGATCAACTGAGTCATACCCGCCAGGGCCACCCTTCCTTTTTAATATAATGATATAAAGTTATCAATTTCCCTCTAAGTATTGTTTCAGCTAAATCCAAAAAAAATTTTTTTTATCCTCACTGGAGGACACTTTTTCGTTTTTTGTTCAGATAGAGCGGGAGGAAGAGAGAGAGAGAGAAACATCAACGTGAAAGGGACACATCGAGTGGCTGCCACCCACACAACCCAACCAGGGCCGGGGACAAACTGCAACTCAGGTACATGCCCTTCGCGGGAACCAAACCCAGGTCTCTCTGGACCACAGGCCGACGCTATAACCACTGAGCCAAACCAGCCAGGGCAAAATAAAAAATTTTGATGCAGTATATTTTCATTACCATTTAGTCTGTAATTTCTACTTTTCCATAAGATTCCTTCATTGACTCACAAGTTATTTAGACGTGTATTGCTTAACTTCCAGCTATATAGACTTTACTAGGTAACTTTTTGTTACTATTTTCTTATTTAATTCTGATGTGGTCACAGAATATACTGTGAGATTTCAATCTTTCTATTTGAAACTGTCTTATAGCCTTGAATTTGATTTTCCTCGGTGAAAGTTCCATGTGCACATGAAAGTAAGTTCCATGTGCACTTAGCAGCTGCTGGGTACAGTGTTCTATAAATGTCAACCAGCTGAAGGTGGCTAACTGTCATTCAGATCTTCTAGATCTGTGCTGTTCAATATGGTAAAAACCAGTCACGCACAGCTACTGGACACCTAAAATGTGGCTTGTTGCTTAATAAGGATTTGATTTTTAAAACTGCATGACAAACATTGTGCAACTGATTTTCAACTGAGTTAACAGTGGCTCACTGTTTTCAAGGAGACACGGGTAATGCCACATGCTACAGCAACAAGGTACGAAGACAACAGATTAAGGTTTCACTCATATCGATGGTTTACTCTCTCTCTCTAAAATCAATAAAAACATATTTGAAAAATTCAGTTCCTCACTTGCACTAACCACATTTCAATAGTCCCAAACGGCTGGTGACTACCATATTGGACAGCACAGAAACAGAACAACTTGGCACAAAGTTCTACTGGGTGGCACCACAATGGCCAGGAAGGTGGTTACAGCATGAGATAGTATTAGAAAACTCAGAAACCAATGCGGAATGTAGACAAACCCCATAAATTAATAATTAACTTAGGCTTTTACTATGTGCCTGCAATTTATAACAAAGAATCTGCCACAATATTAAGAAATCTAATGATATATTCTGCAGCTGTGGACTCTTGGCCACACTACGTGTTATATGCTTCCATTCCCTTGTATCAAAAATGAGAAACTAATGTGGTATCTATTTCTATCTTGCTAAGGCAACATGGTGGTGATTCCTGTTCCTATAAGCTGAAGGAGATGACAAACAGACAAGACTCATCAAACTTAGCAAACAAAGAACTGACAGGGAAAATAAAATCTTGTTTTAGGAAGTTATGAAAGTTCTTTCAGACCTGTCATAAAAATACCTCTCCACTTTGCACTAGAACAAACTGGGATGACAAACAACTCTGTCCAGCTTTATAAGAGCTGGTTGATTCTCTTGGGCTTTGTTAAATAACACACACAAGAAACAAAATTTAAAACAAATGTACAGATGACAGCAGGAATAATAAAAAGATAATTCCTACTGTACCAAAAGCTTCATGAGTCATGTTATCCTTCATGAAGGGAATTAAAAATAAGTGGTGTTAACAAACCTAAACAGCAGATGATAGATATCAAGGAATGTGGCTAGGTCAGCATTTCAACTGCTTGCTCATCAGCACACTCGCCCATTCTCTGCATTCCCCATCCCACCACTCATGGGAAAAGATAAAAAATTCATCCCACAAGTCTGTGCTTTTTCAATATGGTTTCCAACAAGTGGAAAGGTTAAGAGAGAGTCACCATATTCAAATCACACTTAATGACATCTATTTTATGTTTGAAAAAGGAGGGGGGCCCTGGCCAGTGTGGGCTCAGGTGGTTGGAGTACTGTCCCATACTGAAAGGTTAAAGGTTAGATTCCCCGTCAGGGAACATACCAAGGTTCTAGATTCGATCTCTGGTCCATTTGGTTAGGGGGGCAGAAACTGATTGATGTTTCTCTTTCTCTCTCCCCACCTCTTATCCACTCTCTAAAATCAATAAGCATATCCTTAGTGAGGATTGAAAAAAAGGGGGGAGGAGGAATCACATTTATGTACTTTCAAGTTGGATTTACCACATCAAATATCTTGTATGTTTTTTCATGTCAGAACATATAAATCTATCTAATTATTTAACAGGTGCACAGAATTTCATAAAATAGACATCATATAATTTATTTATATAAACTCCTATTGAATATTGCCATTGCTTCCAGTTTTTCACTATCATCAATATTATAAACGAATATCTTACAAATCTTTACAAACTTTTAAGATTCTCTAGAAGAAATTTCTAGAAATAAAATAAATTGATGGGTCAAATATTTACATGCAAAATTCTGACAGCTATTTTTTAATTTCCTCTGAAACACTTAATATAATCGTAACCCCACCAGTAACAGAATCTGTTTTTTCATCCCCTCCCCAAACACTGCATATTTCTTTTTAGTCTTTGCTAACCTGATTGGCCTCCCACCCCCTTCCCCCATGTTGAAAGCCCTTTCCTATCTTAATAAACTACTTACTTTTGTTGTTGTTATTCCCATCTGTCCTTGGTCCATTTTTGTACATTTTTAAAAGAGTTACTTATTAGGGAAATTAGCCATTTTTCTTTCATACATCTTGAAAATTCCCCCCCCTCAATCTGCTTTCTGACTACTCGTGTTTCTTTCTACAGAATTTTCCAACTTTTATGCAGACATATTTATCAATTTTTTGTTTGTTTGTTTAGTGACCCTAGTTTTTGTGTTGTTTCTGAAAGGAATCTGCCAGTGAACATGTACCACGCACCATGGCTTTTACAACACTGTTTCTTATATTTTCTCTCCCAATTTAAAAAGGCCTTCTAGCCCACGGACTAAGAGGTCAGTGGTTTGATTCCCAGTGAGGGCGCATGCTGGCGTTTTGGGCTCAATCCCCAGTAGGGGACCTGTAGGAGGCAGCTGATTGATGTTTCTCTTTCACTGATATTTCTCTCTCTCTCTCCCTCTACCTTACTCTCTCTCTAAAAAGTCAATAAAAAAATTAAAACATAGTTTTTAAAAAAGGCCTTCTATATTATTTACCAAACTTCTCCACTTATAAGATTTGTCTTTTTCCTTAAAAAGTACTCTTAAATTAACTACTATTTTCTCAATTCTTCCATACTTTCACAACTAATTATTTTTTCCCATTAAAAAAATACTCCCTTAAATTGACTTTCAAACATTTTTCCTTCGATAGAGGCTGATGGGGCTGAGAAAAGGAGTGGTCACCCAGCACCCCAGAGGTGTAAGAAGACTGGCACACAACCCAGTTCAGGCTTCAGAGGGAGCTTTCTGGGAGCTATGCCTAGTTGGGATAAGACTTGGGGATGAGTTAGAGCTGGCCCTGTAAAGGGAAGGAAGTCATTATAGGCAGAGGAAATTCTGTTATGTTTCACAAGGTGAAAATTTAATTTCTCCTTCACCAAAGCATTTCAACACACCAAGCAGGATAACAAGGATAGAAGCGTGTTGCTACTGAGCATGAGCCCTAGCCACTGACAATCACGGACAACAGAGAGCTCTACACAGGCCGGACCAATTACATACATCTGCCCCATATTACCAGCGAAACAGCACCAGGGCAGGTGCTCTATTAGGGATCCACATTAATTCTTTGCTAGGTGATAATTAACATCATTATAACACCTACAACTTCGATATCCCAAGTATAGCACCTTTCACAAAATAACCAATCCCTCCACCTGCCGGCCCAGTCCTTTTCCTCATCCTAGGGGTGTATGTTTACTTTGTGCC